ATGATGCTGCTTGGCCTGCTGTGTTCATCCAGCTCTACACCGTGTTATCTCAGATTCTCCAGCATCTGCAGTTCCTACTATCCCTGACATCCTAGGGTTTGGCTCCTGGTAACTGCCGCCTCCTCCTCCTCCCACCCCATTCCACAGGACTCAAATGAAGGAAACCATTCCAGCAAAAACATGAACATTGCTGTAATGCTTGTGCTGAAGCCGTGTCTGAAAAATGCCATTTCTCTGCAGTTGCTATCTAATCTGCATACTTGGGAGTTCTTGAATTCTGCAGCACATTAATTTGAATTAAATTGTATTTCTTGAAAGATTTCTGACTGATAACAAGTAACGAAATGATATGTTGTATAAAATATGACAGCATGTTTTGTTTTTGCAAGTATTGAATGTGTGCGCAGTGCAATCTTTTGACTGTTAAGCTAGAGGCACTAAATGTTTTACCCTGCACACTTCTTAGTTTTTTCACAGCCAGTGGAACAGGATTTGAAGCTTTTCTGACCTCTTCAGGAGGACTGGTTGTCGCAGTTTGCACAAAGAAGGAATACATGACTGTGATGTTGCCTGACCATTGCTTCTGTGACTCCCTCTGGGTAAGCATAAAGACTAAGAGAGCTAACCTTGGTGTTTATTTTGTTGCATTGACCAATTACTATGACCAGAACTGAGCTCTTACGGCTGTTTTATGGCAAACAGACAAACCTACAAGAAAGGTGTTCGGCCTTAGTCAGTACACCTACCTGTAATGGTGTAGTGCGTTGATGTTACCCAGTTTCCTTTCACAATTTCAGAGGCACTGATGTACCTTGCATAAGCCATAGAAGCAGCTACCAATTTGGGAATAATACAGTTCCACAAAAACAATATGATAATCATCAGATAATTTTCCATGTGGTCATGTCAAGTAAAGGAGAAATAGTGACCAAGTGAATGAACTCTCCTGCTGTTCTGGGTTAAGAACTCTTGTCCTTACACTTGTCGACTCAGACCTCTCACCCAAAGGACTCGAGTGTCAGCCTGAATTGTGTGTTCATCTCTTTAGTGGGACCTGGACCACCATTTGAGTTACTTTCATGCATTTATCCTGATCTATGTCAGGAACTGCTACAGACAGCTGGATTGACAGTCACTTTGGCATTCTATTTTTCAGCGTCACCAACCAAACGAACAAAGAAAGGCTGAATTGATACTGTTCTAGCTGCAGTGTAGCTAAAAACAGTGTGATTTTTTAAAAAAAATCTATGTGAATCTCATTGAGGAACCTTTCTAACTATTTAGTAACAAACCTCATCTCTGGATAAAAAGGCCAATGTTTAAGAATCAGTTTACATACTTGCAATTGAGCTGATCTAACTTGGCTGTCTACCTCTTTATTGGAACATTAAATGTGAAGGCACAGATTCTAATCCTCCATTGTGTTCCTGATTGAATTAATGTGAAGGGGAGGCTCTGATGTTTCCCTCACAGTGTTCGGAAAGTTAGTTTGGAGGGTGCTGTCAGATTGCAAGTATTTGCCTCACTGAGGTGGCCAAAGATGATGTTACTTTGAAGGTCTGGAAACAGGCTTGTTCACTCAACATCCTTGATACAAAGCATAGAACCTAAAATATAAAAGCTCACTTTGTGAGCCCTTAATAGTTGGATAATTGCACTTTCTTTAAACTATTTGTTGTTGTGTTCAATTGTTAACAGAACCCCTCTTGAGTGCTACAACTGACCACAGTACTTGAATTCTTCAACTGATTTGTGATTGATTGTTTCTGTTAATAGCATAGTATAGCAGTGGTACATGTCCCGGCAAAACGTCCCTTTGGTCAGAGTCTGGTGTACATCTATGTCAATGGTCAGCAGAAACTCTCTGCACCCCTCAAATTCCCCACTATGAGCGAGGTAAGATTTTATAACTGAATACACAGCTATGTTCACTTTTTCTTCTTGGGATATTGGGAATATGTCACGGTAATATTTTAGGTGGCATGTAAAGATAGTTTTCTGTATGGCGTAGAGAATGCTAGAGATATCTTGGCAGTGTAGGGGATGTACTGTGAGTTGGGATGGGCTGTGCAGGTTGCAAAGTAGTGGGTTTTGGGAAAGTGGTGTGTGTGTGTGTTGCAGAGGGTATACAATGAAACGCCCACTTTTAACGATGTAGTACAACAATGTCTGAAGTCTGTGGTAAGTGAAGGAATCAATTTCCAGATGTGAGGATACCCGATTTCTTTCATATGAATTATCATCACCATGGTAAACCATTTACCATTTCCACTGGTCATATCAAAGCATTTGATCACCCAACTTGAAGAACTTCAAGCATTATGTTCACCAACCATCTAAATCTGAATGTTATCCTTCAGTACATTTTAGAAGTTTTATCATACGTGGTGAGACAAGGATATGCATTGCTATAGCCCTTTTAATGACTTTGAAAGATTCCATAGTGCTTTACAACCAAAGAAGTAATTTTGAAGCGTAGCCACTATTATAATGTAGGAAATGTGGCAGCCAGTTTTGTGGACAGCAAACTCGCATTAACAGCATTGTGATAATCAGTTTTCGTGAAGTACATTAAGGGATAATTATTGGAGGTAGAGCTGAGGGGAACCCCTGCTGCTTAAAGTAGTGGGGTGGAATCTGTTAATGCCCAGCTGAATGGCCAAGTGGGGTCACAGTTTAATGTTTCATTTGAAAATACACCATTGATGTGTCACCTTAGATAGGAATCTCTGAGTTCAAAACAGTCATTAGTTAAGTGGCTGGAGCTTGTGCATTATGCATATCTTGAAGGTATGTATGAATGAAGCTTCCAAACTGCATATCGAAATCTGGTTTTCATTCTTGCTATGTTTTCGGCTGCAAGTACTAACTCAAGGCTGAATTAGGCAGAAATTTGATCAACAAGGAAGTCAAAGGTTACAGGGGACAGGCAAGAGGATGCTATTAAGACTGCAATCAGATCAACTTTGATCTTATTGAATGGCGAAGCAGGCTCAAGGGGCTGAGTGGCCAGCTCTTCCCGTTTCTGATGGCGCCCATCTTGATCATTTCAAGTTTAATATTTTAAGCAGTTTATATCTTAAATAAAACAAAATGCTCGCAATAGTCAGCAGAGCTGGCAGAATCAGCAGAGACAGCAACAGAGTTAACTTTTCTGATGAGTGACTTTCCATCTGAACTAGAAGAAAGAAGTAGTACATTTTAACTAAAGGAAAGGGGCAAGGATGTAAGAAAAAACAAAAGGGAAAGTCTGTGATTAAATGAAAGGGATGATTACATGACAAAAGATTTCTGATTGCAAGGACAAAGGGAGTATGAGTGAGGCAAATCTAGAACCGAAACTATCTAGAGGAGGTGTGAATGGCAAGGTTATGAATATTCCCTGTCCAAAAGTGAAGAAAAAGAAATGAGAGAACAAAAAGCAATGAAGGGAAGCAAAATAAAGTGGAAGTTACAATGTAAAATTCAGCCAAAGCTGTGAAATTGAAAGCTGAGGTGCTGTCCCTAGAGTTTGCCTTTGAAATCCATTGGAATTCTGTAACAGGCCAAGGACAGGAAGGTCAGAGTGGAATCAAGGTGAAGAATTAAAGTGATTCCTTCATGTCATGCTTGAAGATTGGAAGAATATGTTCTGCAAGGCAGGTCTCAATATATGTTTGGCCTCTTTTACATAGATGAGACCACACCATGAGCAACAAATACTATTTGAAAGAAGTACAAATAAATCATCATTTCACTTGGAAGGAGTGAAGGGCTCTAAACTGTGAGAAGGGAGAAGATAAAGGGATAGATTTCTAATAAAAGGTGAAATGGAAGTGTTGGTGGTGGAGGAGTAGGCCAAGATGTTGCAGAGGGAATAGTTCCTTTGGAATTCTGAAAGGGGAAAAGCGGGGATAATGCATTTGATGGTAGCATCATGTTGAAAGTTGTGGAGGATCATCCATCGAATGTGGAAACTGGGGGAGGTAAAAGATGGGGACATGATTCTGGGAGGGAAGAGGTAAGGGTAGAAGTGTGTGAAATAGAATGAATATAGTCAAAGGCCCTGTCAATCACAGTGTGCGAGAATCATTGGTTGAAGAAAATCAGAAGGGCTAGAAGAATAGTGTGCTTCAGCTGAACAGATGCATTGGAGGGAGAGAAGCTGGAAGAATTTACTAGTGTCCCTGTGAGAAGTGCGGTTTAAGGAAGTGCAGTCTAGCAAGTTGTAGGATTAAGTGGGTTTATAGCCATTACTGGTTAATAGTCTATTCCCGAAAATGGGGAGACAGAAATCAGGAAAGAGTTGGACGTGGACCACATGAAGACAACAGAAGGAAGGAAATTGGAAGCAACATCAGTGTAGTTTTCCAGTTCAGGGTAAACTCATCAGCATTTCTAACTTATGTTGTGTTCACACTAAAATCCTATGAAATGTTTACTCCCTATCTCAGCCTTTTACCTCGTGTTGCATTGGATCAGCTGGTCAGAGGACCACGACCCCTCCACCCTCTCAAATCCCGGATCCTCCTTTCTCATTGTCCATCCCCTCTGGACGAGCGTCCCTGAGTGCAATTCTTTCCTCGCCAGCCTGGAGTGGAGTCTCAGGAAAACCTGAATCGGTGACGAAACTCATTTCGGCAGGAACTCAGGACAGTGAGTGGGGCTCGCCGACTTCACTGGAGGGTCAACTGGGTTCTGTTCTAGTTTTCCATGATGCACTACAGTACTCCCAAGTGAAGGCTTTGTATCTTTCAGGTGAGAATCAGATTCCTAACTCGTGATTGAACATAACCACCCAGAATTAACTTGCTACATTGGCCCCAGATCTTTGTGTGTCTGAGCCATAATAATAAAATGATTTCACTATTTTAAAATTTCTCTTCATAGACTCTTGAATACAGAAGGTTGTCAGTTGACTTTTTGTGTTTCTGCCAGCTTTTTCAAACCAGCCATGTTCCTCTGCTGTTTGCCCTTAGCTGTGTAAAATCTTCTGTCTCAAGTATGTCCAATTCTCTTTTGAAAGTTATTTTTGACTATGTGTCCACCACAGAGTGTTCTGTATGATAACTATTTACTGCATAAAAATACTTTCTTCTCATCGTCAGGTTTTTTTTTTACGACTTAGATTAAAATAGCGTTTCACTGCTTCCCAATCCTGATGCCAGTGAAAGCATTTTCTTTAGTATGGTTTATCAAAACAATATATAGTAGGGAACACTCCTATTGTGTTTCTTCTTAAACGTCTCTGCTCTGAGGGAAGCAGTCTTAGCTATTTAGTCTCTCCATAACACTGAAATTCTTCATCCTGGTACCATTCTCATAAACCTCTGGGCCTCCTCATAGACCCTGATCTCTTCCCGAAGTGTGAGGCCAGAGTTGGTTTCAGTACTCTAGCTGAGAACTGGCCAGTGCTTCCTTTTTTCATTCTTTATGGTATGTGGTCAACACAAGCTAGGTCAGCATTTTGCGGCCATTGCTAATTGTTCTTGAGAAGGCACTGGTGAACAATACAGCCCAGGTATGGCTGATAATGTTGAATGTAGTTCCTATCATGGTAAAATTTTGCCTCAAATGTTGAATAGGAACTTCTGAAAAAATAAATGTTTTTTTTCTCTCCCTGGTGACAGGCCCAAACTGCATTTCTCCATTGAAATCTCAGGAGTCGGAGCTTACAGACCTCACAAGTAAGCTGCTTCTGCATTATACACCGAAGGTAAGTACACTTAAACCCATAGTCCTCAGGGGTTATTGTGTTGCTTTTAAGATTGTCCTTGCTTTGTTTTTGCATACTGCCTCCTCCTGATGTGGGTCATGATCCCATTGTCACTAGGTGCTTGTGGTACTGCATCCCTTAAGTTGCCAGACCCCTTTTATGAGCAGCAGACATTTTTATCACTGAAGGCGTGGCAACTTGTAAAATGTTCAGTGAATGTCTGTGAGTGCATATGTTGTAGCAGAATTCATAAGAGTGCTGGGGAATGGAAATTTGGTTGAATTTGCTACTATTAATCCAGGGACTTGACATCGGTATTCAGCTTCAGAGCTGCTTACACCCTCCCCGTTGAGATTTCAAATCAGGGACCACTTTAAAAACACGTAAATAAAGCTGGATGTATTCAGCAGGTCAGGCTGCATCAATGGAAAGAGAAACTCATAACTCGTAAAATTTAAGTGTTAACTCTATTTTTCTCTCCGTGGATGCTGCCTGACCTGCTGAGTATTTCCAGCATTTTCCATTCTATTCCAGATTTTACAGCATCTGCAGTATTTTGTTTTTTTTTTAATTTAAGAATATCCTTGGGTCACAAGCATCCCTGCCAGGACAGGCATTTGTTCCTCATCCCTAGTTGCCATTCAGAATTGAGCTGCTGCCTTGAGCTACCACAGTGTGTGTGGTGTAGGTGCACCTGCTGTGCTTTTAGGAAGAAGGTTCCAGAATTTTGCTCCAGGATGAGGAAGGATTGGTGACTCAGTGTTTTTATTCTGAAATTCCTCATACTATGAGGTTATTTTAAAGCTCAGTATTTAAAATCCAAATGCTATAAATATTGCATTTTCTGCATTATTACAGGCCTGCAAAAGTCCCATCTGCCTCGATTTGTCTCCGAATCTCCTTCATGGGAGGTTGACTGGGCATAAAGTTGTCAACTGGGACATTAAGGTATTTTAGTCAGTGTTGAATTATTGACCACAGTTAATATTGAGAAAGTAACAGTTAAACAGATTTTTCATTAGAAAAACACATTCAATAAATCATTAGACTTAATTATATTTAAATCCTTCTTTCTCTGGATCAGAAATGCTGCAAAACCAAAAATTTATAAGAAATGAGGTGGTGCATACAGTAGATTACTTTAAATTATGTTTTGCAACATTTTCCAAATGAACAATCCATTCTCTTCGCTCTCTTCCCTCACTGTCACTTTATCCCACCCCTGTTCGGTTGCCTTCACCTTTTCTTTCAACCACACATAGGCAAAACCAATATGTAGAAATGCCCTATTGGTGCTGACAATAATTGGTTGTTATAAGACACCCTGGGTCCCCTGACCCAACTTCCAAATGATCCGTAAAGGCAAACAGCATTCTGAGTGCCCAACACTTAAATTATCCTTGTATTGGATGGACAGACCCTATCAGGACAGTGGCCCAAACTATTTGCCAACAGCATTGGCTCCAAGCCACTGCTTAGAATGTACTAGACATATTGACTATTTTGCAATAAGTACTCACCCTGTTTTGACAATTTTAAGCTTTACTAATTGTAACCAAAGTCAGGTTTTCCAATAATTTGAGCCACATTGTTAGAAATGCAATTCTGGATGCAACTGTGAGCGGTTAGGAGAAGTAGTTGCTAAGTGGCGAATGCCTATTGTCAAATAAATGTTGGTTACTTGATGATCGAGAAGACAACCAATGTGAAGACACTATTGAGCATTAGAATGAACTGCTTCAATTCTTGCTCTGTCCCATTTCTCTTCCACCTTAATTCCCCTCCTCAACTGCCACCCAGTCCCAGGTAGAATTTACACAGCACGTTGAAGGGAAACTGCTACTTGAGATTCAGTTAGTACTGACCTGCTGAAGCGGCAAGAAATGTTGAAATGTGGATTGGAATTATGTTCGTCTCATCATGCAATTTAAATGTGTCTCTATGACTAGATAATAAAATTCTGTTGTCTTGCAGGATATGATCAATTGCACTGGTGGCCTGAATGTTCTTTTCCCACTGCTGGAACAAATGAGCAATCTTGGGAGCCAGGGATTGGTGAAAAATGGAGACTATCATGGCGTCTCTGACTTCGTGACTCCTGAAGCCGCCTCCCCTGCTGAAGGTGACTGGGTGGTGATTCCTTCAACTAGAGCTTCTGGTAAGACTTCATAGTAGTTACACTGGACTTCTGATTTTAAAACATTAATTTTGAAATCGATGATCTGTCTAGGTAGGTTTATGCATTACCATTGTCAACTGCCACATTGCAGACCTGTTCTTTCCTCTGCTGCTTGTGTTCATTAGTGTGGAATCCTTCCTTTCTTTCCCTACCCCTGGAAGTCTTGTCCTTTTCTATTTAATAAGTTTGTACATGGTGTCTTAAAACTCTGGAGATAATAGTGTTTGCTTTAATTTAATTTCTTAGTCAAGTTCTTTTGCCTTTGAGAGGAGCTTGTCCCACCCCACCCCTGGGTTTCCCCTACTTTGAGAAATACATCGCTGTATCTTCTTACTTCGTTGCTCATTTCACTCATTGGTGTCTATCAATGCACTAACGTCTTATATCTACCTAGTGCTTTTAATACAGGCCATCAGGAGACTACTGAGTTGTGAAATGGTGAGAAATTTATCAGTCCAGAATTAACTGTTCTGATGCAAAATTAACTTACAGGTTTAGTACACATATGTGTGGAAGATATTAAATCAAAATAAAAGGAAACATTGTAGTGAGTGATATCTTTTTAGTTGTTAAGCTTTTAAGCAATGATCAGGAATCATTTAGTTGATTTGTTAAAATGGTAAAACTATAGCATTGACATTTTAACATCTTCCATTTAATTATCATTCACATCCTTGATCCTACTTTCTATTAAAACAAGCTAGATGCATATTTCGAGCCAAGTGAATGAAGTTGCTGTTATTCGGAACATGGAGATGGGGAGGCAGGTTTAACTAGCTAACTTAGTGGGCTGTTCAGTTTCTAAACTTCACGTAAAGCTGATCTCAGCCAAAAAGGTTCACCTAATCTCCTTTTCCCTCTAACACGACCTAAAAAGAGTGGGAAAAAAAAATAACGTGTCACAATGAAATACAATGCAATGTTGCAATGTCAGTATTTAGCTATATTCCTGAAGATGATTCAATTTTTAAAGTCACTTCACTTCTTTAACATCTGTCATCAGCACCTCCTACACAACTTGTATAAAGGAACAGCAAGAAAATAAGCCTCAAGCTTGTCTTGTTTACAGCATTCTCACATATATTTTGCTTAATGTGAAGATATTAAACAACTGTTCAAGTAAAAATTGGTGCAGAAAAATCTTCAGACCTGAAATATTACTTCCAAATACTACTATTATTTGCTACTAATTTAATCTGCGCTTTCTTAGTTTTTTGAGAAATGCTATTTTATGAGGATTTGAAAGGAAGCTTTCCCATTGATTCTTCCTTTCAAAAATCTGGTCTATTGCAGTTGACTTTAACAAACTTGTAGGGATTGTTGGTTTGACCTTTCTTTTGCTTGTCAATCTTTATTTAAAGGTTGATGGGAGTTTTGTGGGGAATGAAGGCTTCTAATAAATAATTAAGCATTGCCACGTGATGGCGCCAAAGTAATGTATTCATAGTGGATGCAGAATGAGTAACTTGAAGGAGGCTGTGGTTTCAATACTGATGGCAGTTCAAATTCATCATAGTGTGTGTGTTCGTGGATCCTGCCAACAAGGCTTTTCATTTAAAAATTACACACCTGTTGAGATCTCACATTATGCTTGAATTTGTAAATACAGTGGAATTTTTAAATAGAAATTGTTGCAATAAATTAGAAACTTAACCTTCTTCCTAGTCACTGCTCCAAATGTGTTTGTTCCTTCCTTTCTGTCTCGAACTCATGGCTAACTGTTTGGTTTATTCTCTTGCCTCTAGTGGCACGTACTGCTGGAGCATTCCCACACCATTACAACATTGCATTCCTAATTACGGTAACGACTAAACTTCAAACAGGTAGTTTATTGACTGTAAAGCATCTTGAGGTTTTTAAAATCCCTACAGTGTGGAAGCAGGCCATTCAGTCCATCGCGTCCACACTGCTCCTCTAAAGAGCATCCCACCCAGACCCATCCTATCCCTGTAACCCTGCATTTCCCATGGCTAATCCACCTTATCTGCACATCCCTGGAAACTATGGGCAATTTAGCATGGCCAGTCCACCTAATCTGCACATCTTTGGACTGTGGGAGGAAACCAGAGGAAACCCATGCAGACACGGAGTATGTGCAAAAGGCTGGAATTGAACCTGGATCCCTGGGACTGTGAAGCAGCAGTGCTAACCACTGAACCAGCCTGCCTATTTTTGACAGTTGCTATATGAATACAAGTCTTCCATTTATTTTATAGTTTCTTCTCCCTTTTGTGTGTTTTTTCAGAAAGTTGTCAACATTGGTAGTGACCTTTATGGGGATTACTGCCAAAAAGACATGCAATACAATTAGCTTGCATATTTTACCTGTCCCCTGTCCTCAGTAAAGGCTCTAAAAAGACAAGTAGAGCTTGCATTTGTAGAACAGCTGATCATATCTCTCCGAATTGTCCTAAACATTTAACAATTATTTTCACATATCAGGACTGATTGACTTTGATGCATGCAGCATCAGCAATGTCCTGCCAAATCAGTGAGATGAGTGATCAGTTTATTTGTTTCTTTGGTGGAGTTGGTTGAAGGAAGAATCTAGGCCAGGGCACTGGGGAGTTCTGGAATATTTTTAAAAGTTTTTTTCAGTTCAGCTGCTCAGATACATAAAGCACCCTGTTTAGTGTCTCATCAAGGATGGCATCTGAGACAGAAGCTTAGAATTATTGAATCTCGCAATGCAGAAAACGCCCTTCAGTCCAGTCCATCAGTGTGACTCTGTTTTTCTGTTTAATGCAGTGCCATTCACCTGCTGCATGCTATGCCGTTTAATGTCCTCCTTTTCCTGAGGCACTATTTAATTCCCTTTTTAAAAAAAAAACTGGGCTCTGGTTTCTGGTAGGAATTTTCTCATTCCATAATATATTAAAATATATTAATCATTTTGATAATATATTTGTTCAATTATGACTTTCTTGCTGTGTGATGGATGTCTATTAACTGTGTCATCATCCTTTCTCTTGAAATTCATCCAACTTCTCAGATCAAATAATGATTGTCCTAATAACTTTCTTCTTAACTGTAATCCCACATTGCTACTGACATCTTAATGAATCTATACGTTGTTATTGCATTGCTGGTAACTCTTTCCTATAGTGAATACTCCAAACTGGGTGCAATACTGCCAATCGCAGACTTATTAGGTCCTTTACAAGTTCAATATGCCTTGGTATTTTATACTTCTAGATGGAAACCAAGAATCCAAATGGTTTTACCTGCATGTGCCATGTGTTATGACCAAGATGGGAGGAGTGCAATATCTTTCTCCAGTCCTACGATTCCATAACACAACAAAGAATTTAATTTGTTTTACCCAGTTCCTGATGTGACCAATCCAATGTTTTCTTTATATTAGACTTAAAATAAAAGGACAGGTCAGCCAAGTTTCCTCAATAAATTCAAAATTACCGTTTTATTACCAAACAAAACTTATTCAATGAAGGTGCAAAGCTATTTAACACACGTAGTTTGATATATAAATCTACCTTCTAAATAACTCAAAACACACAGACTGGGTAAAGTGGAAGAGAAGGATTTCTCTGCTTAGAGATAGTAGGAACTGCAGATGCTGGAGAATCCGAGACAACAAGGTGCAGGGCTGGATGAATACAGCAGGCCAAGCAGCATCATAGGAGCAGAGAGGCTGACGTTTCGGGCCTAGACCCTTCATCAGAAAAGGGGGAGGGGAAGGGGGTTTTGAAATAAATAGGGAGAGAGTGGGAGGCGGATAGAAGAGGGATAGAGGAGAGGATAGGTGGAGAAGAAACAAACAGGTCGAAGAGGCGGGGATGGGGCCAGGAAAGGTGAGTGTAGGTAGGGAGTTAGGAAGGGGATAGGTCAGTCCT